TCACTCATTTAGGGATCACTGTTTGTTCTGACCAGCCTCCCGCATTCCAGACTCATCAGGCAGGAAGCAAGCACCAGGTCCCATTCATTCACATCCTTAAATTCCAAAGACACACATCCATTTCTCCATGAATTGTCCACCCTGCTCTATTTCAATCCCAGGGTACCACTGGAGCCCCCAGTTCTCTCAAGGGTCACCTCATAAGAAGAGAAAGGGAAATGCCACAGTACCATCCACTACCCCAGAGAATCTTTAATCAAACTCTTTCTCCTGCATGAGTTGGAAGTATGTGATGGAAGGTTGATACCAGTTTTGCTGTCTTTTCACAGTTTCTGCATGCATATGGCAGCGCTAGTACACTATTCAGAAATCTGGGGATAATTATCACTTTTTGTTCTCAGCACTGGGGCTTCAGATGAAATATCAAAACACCATGAAAAATTCCATTTGATACCCTGTTACACTTAAAACACACCATGACACCTTCCATATAAACCCTCAGCCCTCAGCAGGGCTATCTGCAGACTACACAATGAGAAACAGAGAAGCTGTGACTATTGGCACAGTGCTGCATCTGGGCTGCTCAGATAAGACTTTTGGAAAGATTCAAACCACAGCCTTTTGCAATAGTTACACAATCACTTCCGGCCCACCGTCATGCTGAATTCATTCCAGAAAACTGAACCTTCCTTAAGAGGCTATCAGAAAACTAAAGTAGAAAGGGTTGTAACTGATGTGTAGAAATATCCTTCGGGGGACTGAAAATATAGGAGAAGAAAAGACTCAATTAGGACAAAATAGCTTTATACAGTTAAAGGCCATTCTGCAAAGAAGAGAATTAATAAATCATTCTGAATCGTCCCAAGGAAGATGTTATAGAAGCCACAGAGAAGCCAGTTTTGGGCCGAATAATATTTGTTCATTCACTCATTCATTCACTGACTTCCTGCTTTGCTCCAGGATTTGAGTTGGGGCTGGTGTTGCCATGGTAATAAGATTTGGTCCTTGCCTTCAAGGAACTCAAAGAAAATCTCCATAATGGAATAAACACGGGAAGTAGTATGATCCCCCCTGGATCCCATACTTGTATATCCTGGATGACAGTGAGGAGAGATGATTCAAACTTCAGGAGTGGGAGGAAAGAAGCAATGAAAGAGCTGATCTTTAGAGCCCCTCCAACCCACCTAAACCTGAAGTTCCACCTATGCTCTGGAAGGCGTAGACATAAGGCATGATGTCCTGCTGGCAATCTGCATAAAATACAATGAGAAAGTGAAGGAACTGACTTGGTTGCAGAAATTAATTTCAGACCAGAAAAAGGAGCAAAAATATACAGAGCCCAACACGAGGGATGTGTTCATCAAAATGCAGAGGACACTCAGTAACAGGATTTCCATCAAGGAGTCCTAGTCCAGCAGAGGAATTCAGGTAGCTAGTGAGTAACGGAAATGCTTAGAAATGGTCTATATGTGCTTGTACTGAAACACAGAACAAGGGACAAAGATTTACAAAACTTGTCCAACAATATTAAATGGGACATTTTCTGCCTCTACACTGTGACTGAGGGAGTGAGCGTGCTTAAATAATGTGCTGGACACACCAAGACATCCACCACTAGCTTATATACAAGAAAGAGTGCCAACAAGATTTGTTAGTCCCATGGTGTAGAAAATTACACCACTGCCCTCCCAAACTGCGTAGGAGGAGCTTCCAGAAAAGCAAAAGTTTGTCATGTGAGGTAACATATTCACAGGCTCCAGGGCTTAAGGCAGGCACATCTGTGGGGGGCATTTTTCTGCCTATCACTAGAGGGTTTGATCTGTGTTTCCTGGAATTTGGGGAACACAGAGACTGGTGCCTGATTCTCACCTAGTAAAGTCCAAAGGGGAGAGGCCGGCTGGAGCTATCTATGATGGAGAGCAAAGAGAGAACACTGTACTTCTAGGATTTAGAGAGGCAACATGCCAGGTAACCTGTGGGCTAAATGGATGTTGCAGAGGACAGCCAGGCTAGAGCCTCCTTAAAAGCACCCCATCTAAGAACACTGCCCACCAGGGTCCAGATTGCCTCAGCAAAAAGTTTACACAGTGTGAACTGCTGGAGTAGGGTTGAGGGCATGACACAAGAGGGCAGCAAGAGACTACCTCTCCCACGTCAGGAAATGTTTCAACCTCAGAGGTCTCCAACAGGGTGTCCCCAAAGAACCAACAAAAGCACCCTATTTAATAAATGGTCAGTATTTGGATGTCGACTATGCAGAGGGTTTTTGCAGACTAACACCAACTAGGTTTATTTAAAAAAAAAGTTCCTCAACTTCTAGCCCCTCCTTGCTACCTAACCCTGGAGCATCTAGCAAGTAGATGCAAGAGGTAGAAAGAGGAAGAAAGAAAAGGCAGACATTGCCTCCCCCACTTCCCACTTCAGGACTCTGGGAGGACATGGAAGGAGAATCTTTTAATAGACATGCGATTGAAGTCTTGATTGGGCTAGAATTTTTAATAACTGAAACTGCTCTAATCCCCCACGTCCAGAAAAACAAAAACCTGAGCCACCATCCAGGAGCTTGGAATGGAGTTTATATCAAGGTTTTATTTGAAGGCAGTGGTAAGAAAGAATAAAGTTGTTTCCTCCTGGCAGAGCACCCAAAGCCAGTACATCCAATATACTGATCACATTTGGGGGGTGGGGCCTATCTAGGATCCTTTAAGAATCTGAATACTGCCCAACAGATGTGCACTTGCTCAACAAAAAACTGTAGACACATAAAAGAGAACCACCAATCCATCTCAGAGAGGCTAGAGCAGTCTTTGATGGATGAGATTCTGCCCAGAGACTTACCTATGCAATGGCACCTACACTTCCCTGGGAGGGTAAGCTCTATACTGTGCTTTGTTTTGTTTAATGTCAGACTTGATTTAGGGCTTGACAGGTGAGTCTAGTTTTAAGCGAGGAAAGGAGGGAAAGCATTCCAGGAGGAAAGCATTACACAAAGAAAGTGCTATAAACTGAATGTTTGTGTTCCCCCAAAATTCGTATGTTGAAACCTAATCCCCAATGTGATGGTATCTGGAGGTGAGGCCTTTGGGAGGTGATTAGGCCATGAGGGTGGAGCCCTCAAGAATGGGATTAGTGCCCTTATAAAGTGACCCCAAAGAGCCCCCTTGCCCTTCTACCATGTGAGAACATCTATGAATCAGGAAGCAGGCTCTCCCCAGACACCAAATCTGCCTTGATCTTGGACTTCCCAGCCTCCAGAACTGTGAGAAATAAATTTCCGTTGTCAGTAAGCCACCCGGTCTATTGTATTCTGTTCTAGCAGCCGGAACAGATTGCAGAAGGAAAGCAATGGGATAGCAGGTGGGAATGAACAGGGCAACTGCAAGGAAAAGAGACCAGAGGTACTTGACTAGAGCAAAAGATGAGTGTCCAGGAAGCAGGAAAAGGAAAGTTACCTAAGTAGGGCAGAGTCTTTAAAGATGGCAAAAGAAGTTTGGGTTTGTTGCAATGTATAAAAAAGAACCATTAGTTTCTGAGACTGAGAATTGGCACATAAAAGTGTTATGTTCTGTTCTGTTAATGAAAATAAGCAAAATGGGTTAGAAGAGAGGAGTGGGGGTGAGAACAGCTCAGGATCTGCTGCCGAATTTCTATGGTGACTCTGCTTTTTGAACGGAAGTTGGGACCTGTGATGGGACAAGTAGGATGCACCTTAGATCAACAAAAAAGAATATCTGAATTAAGGACATCCCAGAAAATCTCTGGTTATTGTAAGTACAAGCATGTAGCAATGAGGAGGTGTGATTTCTTAACCCCTCCTTCTTTGTTATAACATGTTGCAAGATGAGATCTCCCCAATCCTTCTGAAACTGGCCACTTTGGGGACACGCAGGAAGTTATTTAGCAACAGTTGCACCATTGTGAGATTTCATTCCTTTCCAAAGCTATGCATTAGTTAGACTTCTATTTACAACCATTCATCTCAAGCAACCAAAACAAAACAAAATTATTCTGAATGTAAATAAACTAGGTGGCTACCTCCATGAAGCTAGATTTCTCTGAAAGTGTCACGCTCCCTTCTTCATTCTTATTGCACAGTTGGGCATCGTGGGTACCAGTCATGCCAACGGTATTAATAGTTCTCAGGAAGGACAGTATAATTCCTCTCTGGGAAAACGTTTCTCACACACACACACTCCATTTAACAATATAACTATTAGATAACTAATAAGTACCTACTGTATAGCACAGGGAACTCTACTCAATTCTCTGTAGTGACCTATATGGGAAAAGACTCTAAAAAAGTGGATGTAATGGCGGACTCCGGGAGGGCTCCCACAAAGGAGTACTTTCCAGAACTTCTGCTGCCAGTGTCCTTGTCCCCGCGGTGAGCCACAGCCACCCCCCACCTCTGCAGGAGACCCTCCAACATTAGCAGTCCTGTTGAAGTCCTTCAATCAAATCCCACTAGCCTTTAAAGTCTGATTCTCTGGTAATTCCTCTTCCCGTTGCCAGACCCCCAGGTTGGGAAGCCTGATATGGGGCTCAGAACCTTTACTCCAATAACTGCTGGACCATAGCAGATGAGAGAATATGGAGCAAACTTGGACCCAAGCCATAGACTAAAACCAAGCCCAGCCAATCCCAGCCTCAATCAGCTGAACCCCAGATGAAAACTGAAGGAAGGTCCAATCACAAATAGTTAAATAAAGGCAAATCCAAGTAACCTGCACTTCTTGGCCCTGAAGATACTGGCCAGCATCAAAGCCACAGGAAGGGCACTGAGGTGATAATGATGATGAGATGAGCAATGGCATGTGCACATGGGAAGGTGTTCGTAAACACCTAAGAACATCGTAAGATGCTCTTCAAACACAGAGCATCTTTTCCAGCCTTCTTTACCTATGTGCAAGTTCAGTGATAAGGAATGTGCCCTCTACTTATTAGTCATCACTGAATGGTTCTGGATGAGAAGGAAATAATTGGGAAACTTCTGGAAAAAACAATCTACTTTGAGAAGTGAAGAATGGAATCCTTGGGAAGAACATGAAAAAAATGAGCAAAAACACAGACTTCAGATATTAAATAAGTCCACAAAAGAGAAAAAAGACTTCCATGTACAAATCTGGGGCAAAGCTGCCATTGGTTTGTATTTGGGAGCATATTTTTGAAGGTTTACTTGAGCCCACTGATGTGAATGCTCAGTGGAAAGAAGGAAATTTAGTTGTTGGAAGAACACATTACAGCTTCATTACTGGTCCAGCTGTGGTCCCCGGGTACTTCTTTATTGATGAGAATAATGTGGTACTCGTTCTAAATGGAAGAGAAAAAGCAAAGGTCTTTTTTGCCACCCAGTGGTTACTTTATGCACAAAATTTAGTGCAAACTCAAAAACTCCAGCATCTTGCTGTTGTTTTGGTTGCAAATGAACATTGTAATAATGAATGGATAAACCAATTTCTCAAAAGAAATGAAGGCTCTGTGGAACTACTTTTCATAATATATGACAGCCCCTGGATTAATAACATGGATGTTTTTCAATGGCCTTTAGGAGTAGCAACATACAGGAATTTTCCTGTGTGGAGGCAAATTGGTCAATGCTGCATATGAAAGGCCATACTTGTGTAATATTGTAGGAACCATTTATGGAAATTCATCCAGACAAGCACTAATGAACATTTTGAAACAAGATGGGAATGATAAGCTTTGTTGGGTTTCAGCAACAGAACAGTGGCAGCCTCAAGAAACAAATGAAAGTCTTAAGAATTATCAAGATGCTCTGCTTCAGAGTGATCGCACATTGTGCCCAGCTGGAGTAAACAGAGAGTGTTACAGAATATATGAGGCTTGCTCCTATGGCTCCGTTCCCATGGTAGAAGACGTAATGACAGCTGGCAGCTGTGGAAATTCATCTGTTTACCATAATGCTCCTGTGCAGTTACTCAAGCCCATGAATGCTCCCTTTATCTTTATTAAGAACTGGAAGGAACTCCCTATTTTAGAAAAAGAGAAAAGTATAATTTTACAAGAAAAGATTCAAAGAAGAAAAAGGTTACTTCACTGGTATCAATATTTCAAAGCAGAGCTAAAAATGAGATTTATTAATATTGTGGAAAGTTCACTTTTAAAGAATAATAAAGGTTAACTGTAATTCAAAAATTAATTAATTAAAAAATTTAAAAGTGGATATGTTTATGTATAACTGATTCACCTTGCTGTACAGCAGAAACTAACACAATGTTGTAAATCAACTATACTTCAATAAAAATTAAAAAAAAAAACTATTGTATAACCTTAGCTCTCTGTCTTGATTTCCTTACTCAACTCCCACTACCATTAAGTTCCCCTCCATGCACTACAGCCACATGAGGTTGACATTAAGTTTGACATAATTTTCTAAGTTTTGAAGCAGTAGAAGAAACTACAAATGACAGGACCAATCATTTTATCATTAAAAATTCAAAATTTATGCTAAAAATTTTTTAAATGGAAAGAAATACAAGGGACAAAATAATATTTATAGAAATTAAATAAGCAAAGGGTTAATACCTATGTTAAAATGCACTTGTGAAAATTTCATAAGAACTCTACTAAGGCTCCCTGGACACAAATGAATATATGGCATAATCAAAGAGTTTGCATCCAAAAACAGAAATTATAATTAGTAGACACAATATGGGGAAATGTTCAATCCACCTAATAATCAAAGAAATAATCACTGAAATAACAAGGCACCACTTTATACCAATGTGATTTCAAATTAGAATACCCAGATAAGGTAGTGCACTTGTACCTGCATAGAATAAAAAGGTATGATAATGACTTTTGAAAGAAGAGTTAACATAGTAAAGAACTATTAAAATGTTAATGTCCTTTGATTCAGAAATCTAATTTCCATGGACTTATTCTAAGAAAATAATGCAAAAGTTTTTCCTAAACTTACATAAAGATTGGCAATATTACAATACTAAAACAAAACAAAACAAAACAAACCTGGGCTGTCTGCCTTATAAGTTTGGAAATGGTGAATAAACAATGTTCCACCTAATTAACAGAACAAAAGAATCCTTAAAACCAATGAGAACAGATTGATTCTTGGGTAGTAGGAATGTGAGTGAATTTTTCTCTTTTATTTAAAGTTCCATTGATGTTGCTATAATAATGTTTGTATAGTTAATTTCTTTCTTAATCAGTGTACTACTAGGGTACCCATGATAAAGAACATTCCTTTCTTCTTTCCTCTCCTTTTGCCCTTCTCTGTAGCACTGGCAATTCAAAACAATCATTAAGTAATCCTCAGTTTACATTATAAATGCTCCATAGAAAGACATTTCAAAACATGCGATCTATTAATTTGTCCCTGGATTTCAACTTTCCAGACCAGCCAATTCGAAGTTTCCTACGCCCAGCGAGACTCTTCATTTCTTTATTATCTGTCAATTTATTTCATTTTGCTTCAGGAAATTATCACCCTGAAGTAGCCTGTCTGTATTATTTTACTTCTAAATATAACTAGAAAGCCATCTGTGAAAAGTAGAGGTATTTTCCTGAATCATTAACACTTTACTTTGACAATCAATAAGCACTTTTCAGCATGACATTGACATTCTGAACTAAGAACTAAGCCCAAAGAACATGACACAGAGTAAGAAGTTTTTCAAATGGGCCCAGTAATATATAAAGCTGCTTTAAAAGGCATTCATTTCAAATCAAAGCAGATCAAAAGTACTAAACAATGGTTTGTTTTGTAAATCACGGTCTACAAGTAGCTTAGAATTAGAATTTCTCAAGGAAACTGTGCCATTTAAAACGGAATCATCTTTATCCTAACGGGATGTGTTCAACCAATCAAGAGAGGTAATGTCCTTGGGAGACTCAGCAGAGTTAAACAAAAATATCATTACAAGTCTCTTTATACATTTAATATTGAAAAGGAGTAGGAGAGCTGAGACTTTTATATGAGAACACAAAACATTCTGAATTAGATTTTAAAGTGGTCTAAATAATTCAAAATTATAGTTCTCTTACTTGAATACATTTTTTAATTCATGCAAGATGTTACAATTTTAAAATATATTTAGAGCCCCAAATGTTATAGTTTCATATCATTTCATGTAATACATGAAAGTTACCACTAATTTTATCACAATACTGATTTTTTTTCATCAAGGAAATGGCCTCTTGGTTATTAAGAGGCCACATCCATTTCACAGGAATCATGTTTCCACAAGGGAACTTCCACTATAGCAGTGGTTCTCAATCCTTGCTATATATTAGAATTAGCTGGGGCTCTTTAAAAAAAATATAGGTTTCACCAAAAACCTGTTCATTCTGAAGGGGTGGAGTGGAGAACTTGCATCAGACTTTATAAAAGCTTCCTATGAGATCCTAATGTTCATCCAGGGTTGAAATCACTACAATAAACTCATACTTCTATTCTCTCTCCCCACCCCTCACTTACTCATCCCCAAGTGAAAAATCTACCTGCCTTGTGAGTGTTTAGAGTATGACATACATTGGTTCTTGTTCCTCCACTAGGTAGCATTAATGCTTTAAAAAGCAGTACACCATTTCTTACACAGTTAAAAAAATACCATATGATCCAACAATCACACTGTTGGGGATTTACTCAAGAGAATTGAAAACATAAGTCCACACAAACACCTGTAGACAAATGTTTACAGCAGCTTTATTCATAATAGCCAAAAACTTGAAACAACCCAAATGCCCAGCAACTGGCAAACAGATAAACAGTGATACATCCATGCAATGGAATACAACTCAGGGATACTGATAGATGCAACAACATGGAGGCTACATGCTGTACAATTCCATTTATATAACATTCTAGAAGCAAAACTGTCAGGGCAGAAATCTGATCAGGATTGCCAGGGTCTGGAGGTAAGAGCAGAAAGGAGGGGAGACTGACTGCAAAGGCACAGAGGGAACCTCCTGGGGTGATAGAAAGGCTATACATCTTGATTGTGATGGTGGTTACGTGATTCTATACATATGTCAAAACTCATCCAACTATACATTTGAAATGATAAATTTTACTGTATTTAAATTATATTTCAATTTTTTAAGTACCCAGTTATGTATTTCTTCTCTGTCTGCTCACACAGTTAGGGATCACAGAGGGTAAGGCAGAAATTCTGAGTACGCTAGTCACTCTAAACACTCAAACTCTCCCTCAGGCAGTTAACCCAAGGTCTAGAACCTGGGGAGAGGAAGCCCAAAAGTGAATTCAACCACATTTTCCAGTCCACTTTACAACAAGGCTGATATGTCCATCACCTGAATGACCCCTGAATCTACTTCTCAGATAGTTCTAAATTCAGGGGGTGAGAGAGGAAGGTAGAAATAATCATCCCTCCAACTCCCCTCTCCCCAATATATGGCCATAATGATCAGGAAATCTTGTGAGATCAATACTACACTAAATTAGGGCAATCAAAATAACACATGGAAAGATGAAGGCAGACAGAATGTCTTAACCTCAGTACTTTTATGAGTATTGACTGTGGTAGGCTGCAACACATTATGCTTTGGCTGACATTTACAGAGACAAAGCCAGTTTCCATTAGCATTAATAAGAAGATTTTTCTGACAGACTTAGATCTAAGCAGGTGTGACTGAATCAAACATTAATTTGCTGGGAAAAAAGTATTTTCATACCATGCAAGACATACAAAACTTCATTATACAGGGTTATTATGCATTGGTGGAATAATTTTTACTCCCTATAAGATATTTATTAGAAAGGACAGTAGACCAGGGGTTGATGTTACATAAGACAGTTAAGTGCACATAGATCACAGAGGACTGGCCTTTTAATTAAAGCATCTGGGTATTAACAGGCAGCAATAGTTCAGCAGACCCAGGTTCTATTCCTATTCTATTCTATTCTAGTTCCAAATTGTTGAACTTCAGCAGTTCAAGGGCGAAGGAAAGAATTGAGCGTAAATTTCTTGAAATCATTTGGCTAGTCCACCATAATTTGTTAATTACATAACATATTTTAGAGACTGAAATTCTGGCTTCAAATACAAAAGAGTGAAAAGCGTTTCAATAGATAAAAAAAAAGTTGGAATGCAATGCATGAGCCTTGATGGTTCTCAAAAAACAACCAAAAAAACAATAAAAGACATTTTGGAGAAGATGAGGGATATCTGAATATGAACTGAGTATCAGAAGATGTTAGGAAATTTGTTCATTTTTTTGGTGTGATAATGATATTGTAGTTATGTAAGAGATTATCCTTATTTTTATGTGATATATGCTAAAATATTAGGGGCCAAAGTGTCCTGATTTCCATAATCTGACTTCAGATGGTACCGAAAATTATATACCATATATCTTTTCATACACATTGATAAACATAAAAATATTTAAATATATGTATACTTATGCATATAAATACACATATAAATATGGATAGACATGGCAACTACAGTTAAATAATATTGTTGAATGTGGGTATGTGAGTTCATTGTATTTTCTTTCAACTTTTCTTTATGTCAAATTTTTCATAATAAATTTAGAGAAGAATGTAAGCATTCTATAGAGGACATGTCATCTTCTTGGCTTTAGGAAGAGAAACAACTCAATGAAATTGTAAATCAAAGGTTAAATATAATTTAAACACAACAATGTTATTATACTTATAGTTCAGTGTATACTGAACTATACACTTAAAAATGGTTAAGTTGGGGGCTTCCCTGGTGGTGCAGGGTTGAGAGTCCGCCTGCCGATGCGAGGGACATGGGTTCGTGCCCCAGTCCAGGAAGATCCCACATGCCACGGAGAGGCTGGGCCCGTGAACCATGGCCGCTGAGCCTGCGCATCCAGAGCCTGTGCTCCGCAACAGGAGAGGCCACAACGGTGAGAGGCCCGTGTACCGCAAAAAAAAAAAAAAAAATGGTTAAGATGGTAAGGCTTCTGTGCATTTTACCGCAATTTTTTTCTTTTTAGGAGAAAGGGGAAGGACCTAGAGAAAAAGCTAAATCAATATAAAAGGAAAATAGGAAATCTTCAAAGCCAGGCTAGAACACCAAAAAGTAAGAAAGGACAAATATTCCAACCTGTCTATAAACATTATACCAGAAAATGAGAAGATGATACTAAGAGAGGATATCTGGGGTG